AAATTTCTGTTTGTTATTCCGAAATTTTAAAAGTCGGTTAGGGTCTATAAAAGCTGCGTGTGGTTTTGTTTTATCTAGAAACAAATTCTGTTGGTTAAATGTGTTTCTCTCAGTACTACCAGAAGAATAAAAAGATAGGTATAAATAAATGCACATCATCCACTGAAGGCTCACACAAATTAAGCATAACTCGTAATTCTAGTTAAGAAAGGTGGAGAGCAGTCTTCATAGGTAGCGTTGCCTTATTTTATTGAATAAATGAAATACTCAATTTAAGCTGCTACGTCGTCTGTTAATTGTAATGGGAAACGATCTATTATGTTCAAACTATTAAGACTGTAGTGGTTTCATCTATTGAACGATTTGAAATTAATCGGCCATAATCTCTTAAAAGAAGATACAATAAAATGAACCACCATTTTATTTGAATATTTTTATATCAGCCATTGAGTTTGAAGGAAACACTTAGTTCAGAGACGTATCTGTATTATCTTTACTTTAAATACCTTAATAAACTTTAGATTCGTTTAACAAGTCATCAAGACTGCTTTGATCCCAATAAACGAGGCATGAAAAATGTTAGAGAAACATTATCTACTCTATCAAAAAGAGTAGCTTTAGTTTAGTGCCATGAAATCTACTTTTTTAGACTGAAGTTTTAAGAAACAATACACATATGTATGCCAAAGTAGAAAAACTTATCAAGTAGTTTCCGAAGTTAGTTGTATCAAATAAGAATGTTAGTCAAGAAGTACATATGCAAAAATATGAGGGTAATTTGCCACTTATCACCCATAGAAACAAGACATATCAGAATCATAATCCGATCATAAAATCAATCTACTAGGATAGACCTTGATCTGACAATATTCAAAAGTAACTGTCACGATTGCTTAATCTAATTTGTTGGCTCCACCCTCACCTGCGATAAACATATGCTGACGACCAGTCTTTTAAAGTATACAAAATATTCAGGTCTGTTTTCTTTAATATCCCAATCCACAAAAACGAATGTCTAGGATTTTATACGGAATAAAGGATAGGTTCTTATAATTTATGACTGTTTTGTAGATATTGTCCTGTTGTGTTGAAATATGGTAGCCGATACTCTTTATTGCCCATGTTCTTTGAATCCTCTGGCAATACTTTGACTTCATAGCGCCCTCTACAAGATCTACTTAACATGGTACATGAAAAAAGGGAAACCCAAATAGGTGTTAAACATACTCTAGTTTTGCGTCATTTGACGTACTAATGTCTGTCAGAAAATTAAATTCTCCTTCAAAAACTGCTCTATTTTAGTCTTTTGTTCACTTTTAAATGGACGGATTTTGATTCTTCCACAAACAGTTTAATAAATCTGAAAGTATGTTTTGGCTTAAAATGAAGTTGTAAACACCGTTAGACTTCAAGATTATCGCATAAACCTAGAAAATTGGATAAGAGTTCAGGTTAAATGACGGACATTTAATAGCCCACCGAAGAGTTACTTGTGAAAATTTGTAACGAGAAAAATGTAATTTTCCCTGATTTCACTTTTAAACAAATTACATAATACTTCATCGCTTTATCAGACTTTATATTATTTAAAACACCGACTTACATTTACTTCAATAGGTTTAAAATTGGGAGCCACTTTATTTTCCTCCTCGCTAGTCCCTCTAAAATTGGATTTCTTAGGAGATGAATTTTCTGGACAAATGTTGTTAGTATTCTGCACTGAATTTGATGTAAAAGACTTTTTTACACGTTTTGACTTAAAATAAGTTTTTTTCCTTATATTTATATTGGATCTTGGGGAGTAATTAATTACTGAGCTGCATAGCATATTTGTGGAGGGGTGCTTTAAATTCTGAGAAACAAAGCCATTTCGGACATCGATATTAGGAGCCATATTGTGTTCAGATGTATTTGGGAATTCATATTCTTTATCTTCTTCTAGAGTTGGAATTCGACTGTGTTCAGAATTTTGTGCCAGATCACACTCATCTGACTGACTATTTGCGGCATAGTCGTAGTTTTCTTTATTTGACTTGTCTGAGCTGCGTGCCTTTGTCTCAACATGTGACGGTAAAGTAAGTATGAAGGGATCGTGTGTTTTATTTTTTTCTGAGCTTGTTAAGTCTACTGGCGACTGCATGCTGTTTTGTGCTTGACATTCTGGCACATACGTAGTCGAAAGCTGATTAGATTGTTCAAAATCGCCCAAAGAAGCTCGTTTATACTCGTTAATCAACTCTTGATTACTGATTGCAGAATTATTAGACTGAAAAATATCAGTGAGAACAGCCGACAAGTTTACTGGTGAATACGAGCTTGAGGTGTAGGGTGATTGGACTGGAAAGTTAGTTATATTGTTTGTCTGCCCACCCCAAACGGCATTATGAGCAGGAGGACTCAAGCTGATACTGTTTGAATGTTGACCGGGCAGTGAATTATAAGAAACACAATTTTCTATCATTCCAAAATATAATTCCACAGATTGTTGTAAAGCGTACGCTCTATCTATTAAAGATTTATAGCATACAGAAATGGCTTCATAATTTGGATAACTAGACTTTGGAACGGGTACATTAGTTATGCTGGTGCTAATAGAGTTTATAACACGTTGTCTCCAATCTAAATAACCTTCAGATTTCGAAGAAATATGCTTGTAAAGCTTATCTATTTCCTTAGGATTCGTATAGTAAGGCTCATCATTATAGGATCCGTTAGAAGGGCTTTGTTTATTGGGAGTAACGGAAATAAAATTTGTGGAGTGATTCATCTGAGTTGGATAAAATAGGTTTGACAAGTTGTTAGAGAGAGAACTACTCGAAGTTTTATCAAATCCTTGGTTGAATTCTGCGAGTGTTGGGTATGTAGAAAAAGGACCATTTTTAAAGTCACTCGACATCTTATACTTCAAAAGAAAATAATTTAACATTGCAGCATAAAGTTTAATTTGTTCTGGTGGTGTTGTTATACTGCTATCACTCGATATTTCACTTAGACGCTCGTTACCATTCAAAGAGGAAGGAGGAACATTACTTTCTTTTGTAACCAGATTTATGGGACCAAACGGTGAGTTTTTAAGTAACATTTTAACATCTTTAGAGTTTTCGTCAGCTGACTCCCATTTTTGAGGTGCAGCAGTTTTCCTTTTACGCTTATTAGAACCATAGTAATATTGCTCTTCAGATATGTCATATTTATTGTCTATGTAGGCGTCGTCAAAATCATTAAACTGATGCATGGCATGAAGCATAACACTCCTTTGCATAATATCTTAATTCATCAAACTGCCTTCAACAGTGATCGATGAATGACGAATATACGATAATCAAAATTTGATTAAAAAAGTACGTCATAAGCTATTGTGATATAGATACTAACTGCCTGAATAAAACAAAATAGAATTCGAGCACAAATGCTATATTGGGTAAAACTTAAGGTGTCTTGTTATAAATATGACAGCATTTTTATTCAAAACAATTATAACTTGTTGTAATAGTAACCATTCTGTAACTTTGAAGGAAAGGTAACGAAGATACGTACCGCCTTCTCATACGCTATCAGACGTTCCCTCCTCGTGTCAAACAGGTGAAATGTCACTGACTCCTAAATAAATTATCCTTCGAACTTAATCGTTTCTCCGTCATGTCACTGATCGTCAGACAGTTTTTCAAAAACTTATCAGGGCAAAAGATAGCTAACCGTAATTGACCAATCTGATAAAACGGTCTGACACATTTGGCAGTGGTTGCACTTTCTTCCTCCGATTTGCTTTCCTGACGCATTTTTGCAGCAGCGTCATACTTGTTCTATACAGCTAACTAGTCAGCACAGACAGCGGATACCACGAAAGTGTAACTTTGACATTAGCTAGATCACACCATTACCATCCGATTCCAGTGAGCACTAATTACTTATCCAAATCACTCATGTTGGTAACTTATTTGTTTTTTAAAAAGTTCTGATATATAATATCGCTGACTGACAATGTAGACATCGACATAAATAGGGAGGGGATCCTGTAAATTAACCATTTCTGTGCTGATAGTTTCAAAATCCTAGATTATGATTGTTCTGGTGATCTAGATAAGTATACCACTGGTAATCTAAGATTTAAACCACACGAACGACAAGCGCGATAACCTATGAGAAACCAGTATACTACGGAGATTCTTTTCGTTATTCATTTTGTAACTCATTTCCTATGTCTCCAGGGTAGTTGGAACTTACTGAAGAGTTCAGAATCAGTTTTTAGTGTCTACATATTACGATTCAGTCACTTCTAATCTACTGTTAAATAGTATTAGGAGGTCTGTTTTCCCGAACTTCTCAGTTTACAGTAAGTGTGAGATCAGTAAAATGCCAGTCAGTTCAAGAGAAATTAACCGGTAGACCTGAAGTAATTCACACAATTTAACGAGAGGGATAAAATGCGGAGTAACCGAAATGAAGTCTTCGTGAACACTTTTATAACCTATGAGTCACTTTTAAAACAGTGGCCTGAGATCTGCATAAACCTCTTAAAATTGTGTTTACTAAGGCAGCAGGCACCATGGTGAATGTTCATTTTATCTCCACAACCCCTGAAAACTGTTTAACTCCAACCAAAAGGTGATATAAAATCATCTTAAGATTACGAAGTAACTGAACGCCTGGATTATCTTCAGTTAAGACTGAAGGCGCCAACTTCTTTTCATCGTTTTCAAATCAGTGTCTGTAGTGGATACGTCAGACTAGTTCACTAGTCTTAGCTGATACATATATAAATATTTCCTGCTGCTTCTTATTTGTCCTATGCAGTCCGTCCGTCTTACGAAATCGAACGAGGCCAGAATATTAACTTGCATAAAAGAACATAGATCATTTTTCTTTCTGGTTTTTCATCGGCTTCCCACAACCATGCAAAAGTGGGAGACAAGTGGTCTTGATGACTGAAGGTATAAAGTAACAAAGATTAACAACACTAAACAAAGATGTACGTGCGAACAACAGTGAGGCCATTTTAATATAGGGTTCAAAAAGACATTAGGTGGGGTGAGACAGTAATCAAATCAACCCCTCTAGCAGATAAGATGGATCTCATGGTAAGTACAGAAGTCATTAAAAGTTTCAACAAGTTTCACACCACTAAAAAATAAATATAGAAAGTCGATGGTTTATCTCGACAGCATTTTTCATCAATATCATATTTGAAAATCCTCTAAGGAACTTGCATTCATGATAAGTCGTGATCACTATGAATCTATGGGTTAAAATATTAAAGATACCCATTGAGCTGTTTTGTCGAATACCAAGAACACCAACAATAAGTTGAATAATTGTACTTAGCAACTTCCATTTCAACCAAAGAAACATATTGATCCATACCAGTTTGCTTAGCAGAACCGTAAGCACTTGCAGCATGAAACGAACATGAATTATCTTTTCTCAAATCCTGAAAATTACGCCCGTAAGTCTTTTGTATGTTTGATGCGTTTTTCGGATACAGAAATTACTATGTCATTTTTCAAGTCTCTTCATGATGTACCCTGTTTTGCAGAAGATAAAAACACAGACATATATGATCACTCGGTTATTTCAGTTAGGTCAGATGCGTTTTATCAAGTCACAGAAATTCACATAGATCAAGTCTATCTGATAAATTCACTACATCCAGTACTTTACCGGCAATAATGTCGGGGTTTGGAGGAGGGGATTAATCTGAATCAAAGAGAAAAGTAGTTCTTTGGTACTTATGTATTTTAATAAGGATTCATAGTTCATTTAACGCCTTCGGCGGCGTCAATGGATACAACTTCAGGTCCAGTAATCCCACAGATAGTAGAATGGCTTAAAAGTGAGTGTTGCAATACTAATGGAATGTACGATTCAAAGGCCGTGGTCGATAAGGCAGAAAAAATGAACATCGTAGGTAGTACCTATAGGAACAGCGAAAATTTCGGGCTACAAACAAACAATTAATTTTCTTTCACAAATGATACAAATAAACAATAGGTATTGAATGTGATGGTATTATAGACTAAAGAATGTTTATAAATATGGAGAAGCTCGTTCCGAGCAGTATACAACTATTAATAGCTCTGATTACTTCCGAAGATGAATGGTGTGCAACGTGTGGCATATTCTCATAACACATTCGAAAGCTTATTCTGAAAAACTCTAGTTCCGATCGTTAGCTTATCTCATTCTCATTCTGGTGTTATTTCTTATTGTTATCGATTGCTCTCTCATTTAGATGTAAATGCATTCTGTGTGCTTACTGAATGATCAGCCAATATTTTTAATTGTTCTTTCCACTTTCAGATAACCTCACACACTTTTCTTCGCATTCCTCCATCACACAAGGTCCCTCCCAGCTAAACGCAAAATTAGCAATGGTTGAAGTTACAGACATTTGTTGTTTAGTGGTAGTCCGCTCTAATTAAACCTGTACGTTGCAGTCATGAAGTTGTTCGACCTGAAAATTAATCAACAGCCTTTGAATTATTCTCGAACAAAGGAAAGTAAGGTGTATTCATATTCTCACGACATAGTTATGTCAAGAGTTTCTAGTTTAATTGATGAAGCTGAAAAAAATGAAGTTGAATCAATGGAAGGTGCAGCTGATGATGGTCGATACATTGAGCTAGTTAGTTAATTCTTACTTATCTCATGTAATTCAACTAGATCAATTAAATAACTTCAGTTTAATGTAGATCCGTAATTGGTATGGATCATAAATGGCGACTCTCTATTTCGGGGATGTCTAACCAAAACTTAAAATTTCCATTGACATTGAAGAAGTCCTTTAAACTACTGGGGAGCCCGACATTGATCCAAATTATACCCGCTTTTAAGGAAGACACTGAACGGCATTGTGAACAGCTCTTAATTTCTTATTCGAAGGAAAACCCAGTATCTCATTTAACTTTGAGTAATCAAATTAAAATTCCAAAAATCCAGAAACCCTTTTTTTATTTTGGGGAAAACCCTGAGCTGGTATTTCACAGTAAATATTCAAATTCGACTTTATGTGTTACATCAGTCGCCAAATCTGGGCAATCGTTCTTATTCATGCTTGTTTCTATAGGGTCAATCGATATTCAGAAATTTATTGAATACTATTTTCTTGTTGAATGCGTCTCGTTCCAAATGTTTCACCAAAAGGTGCTTGTTGGTATATATTTGATAGGATTCTTTATAAGCGAGCTACAACTTATAATTACGTACGTACGTACATATACAGACCATATATTCGCACTTGTTCAAGTCCAGTAACGTAGACACATTTCTGCGTCCAACAATATTTGCGATAGGGAGGGAAGTAGTTGAGCGTGTTGACCGCTTCATTTATCTCAGGAATCTCTTCAGTGCTGATGGCCTGGTGTGTGACGAAGTCTCAGCGTGAGTAAAGAAGTCTCGTCTGGCTTGTGCCAACTTGCGTCAGATCAGTAGATGAATGCCCAACCACCGACTGCCCCAACAAGCGGTGTTTTGTGGTGTAGGAGTAGGTTGGAAGAAAGCTAGGGGCGGCCGAACTAAAGCGTGCAGAAATCCATGAAGTCACTTACAACCGGACTGAGTCATGTTGGTAGGTATACATTATCCGGTTGGGGTCCGCGAGATGATAGTAATCGATGGTTGGAGACCTTAAATGACAGCTCAAAATCGTTAACAATGACGCACGTGCATCCGCTCTTTATGTTCTCTTAAACTCTAATCTTCTGAATTCCTCATGAAGGCTTTTTTTCTGTTTTTTTTTCCCAATTGATCCCTCTGGGATATACTCCTCGATTAATATCTTTGATCACTAATCATTTTGATCACCGCTAATACTCTCAGTTTATTCCTACATCATAAAATATCTTTTGTCGAGGCATTTGGTGGTTGGTCAAAGCACCGACTGGTAGCAACGCTGATTGTGCTTGGTCTATATCTACTTTAAAGACAACTCTCATTAAGCTAGAGAGCGTATAGGTTTTAATTGTTGGTTCACTATTCGTCAGTGTAGTCACAATCACAAGGATCCGAAAAGGCAAATATTCTAGACTTATGACGGATTTTGATGCTTATTCACGTCAGGTTACATGTATAAAGCTTTCGCAACTCGTTTAAAAGAAGCGACGAAAATGACCCTTAATAAGTGGTAAATTTTATCGTTCCATAAACCTTATAAATCCAACCTATGTAATAGAAAGAGATATAAAAACTTCAATATATCAAGTTGCGCTAAACCCCCTGAACTTCGTTTACTCACTTCTAGGCTGTGGTTTCAGACTTCATTAAGTGTTGCAGATGTTAGGACCTACAAAAATCTCTACCTACTTTACTGTTACCCCCCAGTGGAGCGTAGGCCACCGACCGGTATTCTCCAACCCACTGTCTTAGGTCTACCTTCCTGATTCCGTCCAACTTTTATCCATTCTTCTCATGTCTTTCCCCGTTTCTCGGCGTATTCTGTTTCTTGGCCTTCCTCTTTTCCTTCGACCTTGAGGGTTCCAAGTGAGGGCTTGTCTTGTGACGCAGTTTGGTGCTTTCCTGAATTTGTGCCCTATCCACTTCCAGCGCTTCCTGAATTTCCCGTGCAGTGGGATAATAATTACTTGTATCTTCTGGATGATGGCTTTCGTAGTTTGACAAGTTTCTGCCCCATACCGTAGGTCTGTCTTGACGTTTGCGTTGAAAATTCTAACTTGGGTGTCTGTTGATATTTGTTTTGAGTTCCGGTTGTTGTTCGATTGTAGAAATACTCTCCCTGCTTTGCCAATCTTTGCCTTCACATCTGCTTTGGATCCACCTTGCTCGTCAATAATGCTGCCGAAACATGTTGTTGCGTGTGCGATAAAAGGGCCAGATCGTCCATCTGCATCCTGGTTTTCCTCTGTATCCCGAGCTTCTGTCCAGATGTTGACGTCTTCATAATCCAGTCGATCGCCAAGAAAAATAGAAAGGATTTGAATAAGCAACCTTGCCTAACACCAATCTTCGCCTCGAATGAGTCTGTCAGCTGACCTCCGCACACGATTTTGCAGTTTAATCCATTATAAGAATTCCGTATGATTTTGACTATCTTCTCAGGCACGTCGTAGTGTTGAAGAAGCCTCCATAATATTTTCCTGTCCACGCTATCGAACGCTTTCTCGTAGTCAATGAAGTTGATGTAGAGTGCTGAGTTCCATTCAATTGATTGCTTCACAATGATCCGTAATGTTGTAATTCGATCAGTACACGATCGAACCTGTTGATCTTGAAGTTGGGCCTCTACGAAGTCCTTCATTCTGTTTCACAATACCCTGTTAAAGATTTTGCCTGGTATTGAGAGAAGAGTGATGCCTCTGTAGTTCTCACACTTGCTGGGATCTCTTTTCTTTGGTATTTTGATCAGGTATCCTTCTTTCCATTTTAGTGGTACTTGTTCTTCATCCCATATCTTTTTGAAGAGAATGTGGAATATTTTTACAGTTGCTTCCACGTCTGCTTTCATTGCCTCTGCTGAAATGTTGTCTGGTCCCGCTGCTCTGCCGCTTTTGATTTTTGTGATAGCCATACTGATCTCTTTAATTGTTGGTGGGCCAACATCAATTGAGAGGTCCGTAGATGCTGGTTCTATGTTGAGTGTGTCCAGTGGAGCTGGTCTATTCAAGAGTTCCTTAAAGTACTATATCGACCTGTTTCGTTATTCTTGAGTGTCGGTGATTATTTCTATTTCCTCATTTTTACTGGTTGTAATGGTTAACGATATTTTCCAGCAAACTTCGTTGTATTATGGAATTGTCTCAATTTTCCTTCTCTTGCTGCCTTTTCCGCCGTCATTGTTAGATCTACATATTTACGTTTGTCTGCTCTGATGCTCCTCTTCACTTGCTTGTTTGCGTCCTGTATTCACTTAAATCAAGTCTCACCTGTTACACGGATTTTCTTGACATGAATCCTGACAAGTCTTACGGTAGTATGTAAATCCGTTAAGTTTTTTTGTGAATACTAGAGCTTACGGTTGAACATCGTCTCATTTAACTACGCTAATCAAAGTAATTAAAATTAACTTCCAGGTAAACTAATCCAGTGATGGTGAACAGTTTATTTTTAAAACTAAGATGGTTACTGATTAATAACTTTCAGAATTTTTTTTTCAGTTTCTAGAACTATTTGTTGAATTAGCTTGTCTTAGTTTTCCTCGAACAATATGTTAGTAGGCTTCGAATAAATGAGACTAGTATGTATATATTCCTTTCATAAGAATCGAAATGATTAGCTATTATTTTTGTTTTTAGGATTTGCTAATACCTTCCGATACAAATGACGAGCCGTCGAATCTTCTCGTCAACTTTTCTGACTCATCGACTGAGAATGAAGATTCTTCTTCGGAATCAGAGAGCGAGTTTGGTGAACTAATCATACCATCTCCAGATAGACTTAGTTCAGCAGTTTCATCTCGTAAATCTTGTATACTTATTGAAGAGCTGAAATCTATTTGCACCGATGATTGTATAGTAGAAAACCAATTGTAATAAAATTTTATTATCACTGCTGTTGTGATTGTTATTATTCTAGAAGATACGTATATTTTTGCAAAAATGAGTTCACTCAAAAGGAAGTTCTTTGGTGAATCAATCTTTCCTATTTTATGCTTCTATGGGTATATAAAAATTATAAAAAATTTACAACACTCCGATGATTAGATGAAATTTCTGATGTTTCGCAGTTCAGTGTAAGTCTCTTCATCAAAGAATAAGTAGTTCTATTGAGTTAACGTGACTCGAGATGGGACTTAAGTAACAAAGCAGAATATTTTTCGCCCAGTCCTAATTAGTCTGAACATGTTAATATCGTTTCATTCCTTTCAGAGGATATTACAATGGAAAGCCACAGAAGAATTTTCACTGATTTCGATGCTGAATCAAGCCCATGTGTTGTAAGATTCTATCTAAATAGTTGTGTTGAGCGACTGGTACCGAACCAATAAACTATCTCATTCCATTTCACTAACTGACTAATTTTGTTTTCCATATGGTCTTAGGTAATGAGCAACGTGCAAACCCGTTGGATGATATTAAATATATCCAGCACAAGAAAGCTGGTATTCTGCTATGGTGAAAAATCGCATTGTCGTCACTAAACCTAGTTACAATCATGACTTGGACGGAAACCATCCTCTTAGTGAGTGGATCTGGGTGTCCGTTTCTTTAGGTGAATACTTAATCATCGTCCAAGCATCCTAGAATGGTCAATTGATAACGTTAGGTATCTAGGTCAGTTGGACTGTTATTCAGAATTCTCTTTTCAGTATTTGAAATGTATTTTGTGATTATTAACTGGCGTACGATCAAGCTCGCTGCTTTGAAACCGGGTGAGGTCTTGATACCCTTGGAGTGTAACTGTGTCTATTAGCGGACGGCCAATGGGGATCGGACGAATGCGGCTGCTTTGTGATTAGTTCTTGATGTGTCCGACTACTTAACTTTCAAGACCTACCGCCAGTAACGAAAACCAGTGTAATAAGGTAGGGTTTGTTATTGACAGACAGACAGATACAACACAGGACTTCGTACGTACGTACATCAGTTCAAGTTGCCATGCCCCATCAGCACAGAGAGGCAACTGTCAGTTCAAATCCAAGAGTGATAGCAATAATAAAAGTATTAGCAGTAATGGATAAGATTAGGGAGCGAAGATATGATTCGAGAAGTATTATTCAGTAAGATAAATTTAGAAGGAGAAAGATAGAGATTATGAGGAATGCAGAAGCTTAGAATTTCATAGAACACAAATAGTGGATACAACTGCGCCATTGCGAACGATTCTGAACCATGTCGTTCAAGGTCTCCAACCACCGGTGACCAACCAGTAGTCTACATCTACCAACATGACTCAGTCCACTTGTAAGTGACTTCATGGATTTGTGCCATGTTTTGGTCTGGCCGCCCCTAGCTTTCTTCCAATCTACTCCTGCACTGCAAAACATAGCTCGTCGGTGGTTGGGTATACGTAACACATGTCCCAACCACCTCAACTGATGGAGTTTCACAACTTCATCTATTGATTTGCCATCCTTACCTAGAACTCGTTTCCTAACGACAGCATTGCTTACTCGGTTGTCCCACGATACACGAGCAATGCTTCAGAGACAACGATGATCGAATACTAGTAACCTACGGAAGTCCTCTACTCTTAACGGCCAAGTCTCGCTTCCGTACAGTAGGACGGAGCGAACTGCTTCACAGTACACTCTTCTTTTGGTTAGCAAACGGATATCTCGTCTGCGCCATAAGTGATGCAGGTTGGCAAAAGCCAATCGAGCCTTCTATATCTGAGCTGAGATTTCGTCAGTCACCAGGCCACCAGCGCTGATGAGATTCCCAAGATAAGTGAAGTGCTCTACACATTCGACTACTTCACTCCCTACCACTAGTTCAGGTGCCGATGAAACCCAATCCTGAAGTAATATTTTGCATTTCGAGGATGAGAACCGCATCCCGAACATGCTTGCATTGTTGCTTAGAGTGGTCAGAAGACTCTGCATTTTGTCAGCGTCTTCACCAAGTAGGACAATGTCATCGGCATATTCTACGTCAATAAGCGAGCCACTCGGTAGAAGGTCTACTCCTGAAAATTCAGACGAGGATAAGGTTATTTCTAATAGCATGTCTATGATAAAATTAAACAAGAACGGAGAGAGTGGACATCCCTGAAGTAAAGAATTCCGGTGACAGTTCGCCATAAGCTCTCACTCAACCAATAGTGTTCGAATACGGAGCATGTATAGGGTTAATGTACTTCTTTGGTACACCTTTCAATCACAATCACTGCCACAGAACCTCACGATCCACCCTGTCAAATGTCGCCTCAAGGTCCAAGAAGACGACTACTGTAGGACGCCTAAATGTGTATCTGTGTTCCAGAACCTGTCGTAGAGTGAAAATGTGGTCTATACAGCCACGACCAGGTCTTAATCCAGCCTGGTTTTCTCTAGTCTGCTCTTCACGAGCAAAAGTAAGGAGTCTAAGTATAATCGAGGCTAACAATTTAGAATCCATATTAGTTAGACTGATTCCTCTGTGATTGTCACAGGAAGACTTTTGTCATTTCTTATAAATTGGGACAATCAAGGATTGAGACCAGTCGGATGGGATTATGTACAGTTCCCAGATTCTACCTAAGATCTCAGTCAACCTAGCTGCTAAAACTGGACCACGATCCTTAAATATCTGAGGGGTCTGTCTATCAGGACCTGCAGCCCGCCCTCGCTCCAGATTTCCTAACGCTTTTTCAACTTCATTAAGACTGGAGGGACTTACGTCGATTTGCCATTCAGGATGACTGGTGATCGTGGGTAGCCAAAGAGTGGCTCGAGGCCAGTTGAACTGACCCCTAAAGTGTTCTGCCCATCGATCCAGTCTCCTGGATTGATAATAAATAATAGTCCCATCCTTTTCCGAGATAGTCTCACTTACACTATGATTCCTAATACCAGTTTCCTTGATAAGTCGGAAAAGTTGTCTACTGTTGCCGATCGCTGCTGCCTTTTCCATCGCTTTTGCTTTCGCCACCCACCACTGGTCACGGTCGTTGCGCAGGCTTTTATCAACCTGCGCCTAAGTTGACTTCGTTCTTCATCATGTTCAGAGCCAGGTGGGATGAGTTTTCGGGCATCCATCAGATCGGTGGATGCTACTGAGATCCACGGTTTCATTCTAGCCTTATGGTCAACCTTACTAGCAGATATCACTGCTGTTTCCACAGCCTTTTTGATATCATTCCAACCTGCCTCCGGATGGGAATCGCTTAAATGGTCGCCTAACTGTCTTTCTAGTTGTTCCTGAAATATATTTTTCGCCTTATTATCATTAAGTAAAACCCTAAGAGGCTTTCTTACGGATCCAACGTTGAGATGACTTCGGGGGTCGCCAAGTAAACAGATGCTTTTCCTTATGCCTAAAGTTAGTGTTTGCTAGAAATAGTTGGTTATCTGAGCATAGTTGCAATAGACGGTCGCCATTATCTGTTCTATTAGCCGCGACACCAGATCATCCACCCAGGGGTCGTTCCTTCTCACTTAGTCTACCTACTTGAGCATTGAAGTCACCAGCCATTAATACAATATCAGAGCGCCTAGCTTTTTGGAGGAGGTTCGAAAGTTTTCTGTAAAACTCATCTTTTACCTCGTCTGGACTGCATTCAGTGGGGGCATAGGCAGATATGACGAAGAGGCAACGGCGAGTGTCCCTGTCTTTCCGAGTCCTTACTGTCCCGTTTAGTCGGACAGCGCACAAGTGACTATTTACAGGGATCCAGTCAAGGAGCGCTAGTTCTGCCCTACGACTCAATACTATACCTACACCAGCAAGACCCCTGGAAGCAGCATCACGGCTACAGGATACACGAAGAGTAAATCGAGCTGCTTCTTTGTTTTGACAAGGTGAAATCAGATTAATTACTTTACTAGGATCCTGTATGCGCGCTTCCAAGACGCAGCATACATCGATGGCGCGAGATTCTAACGTTCTAGCTAATGATGCCTATTGCCCTATTAGACACAATGTCCGTACATTAAATGCTCCAACATATAGTCTAAAATGAGGTTTCAGGAGACCAGAAATGACGTTTCGTGAACTCGCATTGTTTGCATTAGCTGTGCAGTGTGACAAAGGAATGTGAAAAGAGTTAGTCGTGGAGATTAAAGAGGTACTAGAGGATTTGAGAAGGATTTGATTTTGACCAATTTGGTCTCGTGTTCTGGTACGGGTATGAGGGCGGTTGTCACTTCCCGGTTGCCCACACCGTGGAAGGTTGTTTCTTGAGTAACCTGAAGAGGAAGGTATATGAGCGTTGGTCTTAGAGACCTGGGTGCGTGACCGCAGAGCCCAAGGGACAACTGCTTGAGGCCAGTCACGCACGGCCTTTTTATGAAGGGTTTTTTGAGTATTATAGCTCCGCTCTTAAAGGCCCTTAGTGGGCACCCTTACCACCGGAGACGGAAATCCGTGAGGTAGGGTGAGGTGTGACAATTTTAGGGTCGACCTTTTCTAACCCTTCCTTCCTTGTCAGAAGGCAGCATCGCTGCAGATGCTGGTTGTCCGAGAGAAACGCCTTACTGCTGTTACACCCCTCTACAGTCAAAAGTACGACTTCGCCCTCAGACCTTGAGTAGCTGCTTTTAATCTCATCGTTCTCCAATCAACCTGCCTGGCATGGAAGAACCTTCAGGAACATATGTTCCAGCCAGTATAGCTCGGTTGGGTCATCACGATAGTCAAGCCCGACCACCGAGTCAATGTAGCAGCTACGGTAGGGGTTTGTTATATTTAGAGATTACCATTTATAACCCCCTCCATTTGTAGTGAGAAGACAGCATCGTTGTGGTCAAGCTGTAGTTAGAGACAACGTGTAACATCCCTCGGAATAAGTTAAAGTAGCGCGAATGCGCTCACTCTTTATCTTCCACAAACCTTGACTCACAGTATTCCTACATACATATCTTTTCATTCTATCTACGTGTACCGTATTATTATTGTCTAGTCTTTCTCACTA